TACTTGGGGGGCACTACAGACCATGGCATCATGTTTAGCACACAACAAAGTGACCCTTCAGTTGTGGGATATGTGGATGCAGACTATGCAGGGGACTTGGATGACAGGAGGTTTACCACAAGTTATGTGTTTACTCTTGTGGGAGGACCTATTTGTTGGAAGTCCATGGTACAGCCTATAGTTGCACTATCTACTACTGAGTCAGAGTATATGACAGTAGCTGAGACTGCCAAGGAGGCTTTGTGGCTTACAGGTTTGGTCAAGGAGCTGGGTGCCCAGCAAGGTGGAGTTCAGTTGCATTGTGATAGTTAGAGTGCCATTTATTTGACAAAGAACCAGGTGTATCATGCGAGGACCAAGCACATAGATATGAGGTTTCATAAGATCAGGGAGCTGGTTTCTTCTGGTGAACTATTACTTGAGAAAGTTCACACTTCTAAGAATGCAGCAGACATGTTGACAAAGTCTGTTACTACAGACAAGTTCAAGTACTGCTTGGACTTAATTAATGTCTCCAGTTGCTAGATGGGAGATGCCCCAACTTAGCGTCTTCGGTGGAGTTTCCGGATACATGTTCTCTTTTTTCTCCCAAGGAGTGAATATTTGCCAAGGTGGAGATTGTTAGAGTACGTGTGGCTCATATTTACTGTGTGCACAATGGCAACACCTTCGCGGTACGGTACATGAGTATTTTGTAAATACGTCTGTACTAGGGTTATATAAATACTTAAAATGTAACCCTACTTTGAATAATGAGAAAGAACGGCCGCTCACTCCTGTGGATGTAGGCACATTGCTGAACCACGTAAATCTCTGTGTTATTTTTTCTTACTGTCTTAATTGTTTGATTCCTTATTATTCACCATAATTGTTGCACGACCACAACAGTATGATTGAGAGATTCTATGACCCAATTGAAGGAGAAGTAAAAATTGATNAGATTTACATAATACAACCAGAAGGGTTCAGTCTCCCTGGAGAGGAACATTTGGTCTGTAATTTGAAGAAATCACTTTATGGGCTGAAACAGTTTTCGAGGCAGTGGTACAAGCGATTTGACTCTTACATGATCCGGATTGACTACAAAAGGTGTGAGTATGATTGTTGTGTCTATGTGAAAAGCCTTGATGATGATTCATTTATTTTTCTATTACTTTATGTGGATGATATGTTGATTGCTGCCAAGAGTATGAGTGAGGTCAACAAGTTGAAGACTTTGTTGAGCAAAAAATTTGACATGAAGGATTTGGATGCGGCCAAGAAGATTCTTGGGATGGAGATTCGTAGGGACAGAGCTTCGAGAAGATTATGGCTATCTCAACATAGCTATGTTGAGAAGTTGTTGGACAGGTATAACATGAGTTATGCAAAACTAGTAAGTACACTTTTGACGAATTATTTCAGATTGTCTACCGCTCAGTGCCCGAAGACAGATGATGAAGTTCATGACATGTCAAAGGTCTTATATACTAGTGCAGTGGGGTGTTTGATGTATGCTATGGTTTGTACAAGACTAGATTTGGCACAAGCTGTCAGCATGGTTAGCAAGTTTCTTTCAAATCCAGGTCGACAGCATTGGGATGCAGTCAAGTGGATTTTCAGATACTTGGGGGGCACTACAGACCATGGCATCATGTTTAGCACACAACAAAGTGACCCTTCAGTTGTGGGATATGTGGATGCAGACTATGCAGGGGACTTGGATGACAGGAGGTTTACCACAAGTTATGTGTTTACTCTTGTGGGAGGACCTATTTGTTGGAAGTCCATGGTACAGCCTATAGTTGCACTATCTACTACTGAGTCAGAGTATATGACAGTAGCTGAGACTGCCAAGGAGGCTTTGTGGCTTACAGGTTTGGTCAAGGAGCTGGGTGCCCAGCAAGGTGGAGTTCAGTTGCATTGTGATAGTTAGAGTGCCATTTATTTGACAAAGAACCAGGTGTATCATGCGAGGACCAAGCACATAGATATGAGGTTTCATAAGATCAGGGAGCTGGTTTCTTCTGGTGAACTATTACTTGAGAAAGTTCACACTTCTAAGAATGCAGCAGACATGTTGACAAAGTCTGTTACTACAGACAAGTTCAAGTACTGCTTGGACTTAATTAATGTCTCCAGTTGCTAGATGGGAGATGCCCCAACTTAGCGTCTTCGGTGGAGTTCCCGCATACATGTTCTCTTTTTTCTCCCAAGGAGTGAATATTTGCCAAGGTGGAGATTGTTACAGTATGTGTGGCTTATATTTACTGTGTGCACAATGGCAACGCCTTCGCGGTACGGTACATGGGTATTTTGTAAATACGTCTGTACTAGGGTTATATAAATACTTAAAATGTAACCCTNCAGAGAAGATGATGCTCAGCATGTAGAGAGTTCTATCTCAGGTGATCAGCAGCATCACAATATAGCCATAGACAG